TCCACCCATCATGGTGGACGGCCACGAGGAGTTCCTCGTTTCAGACATCATTGGTCGCCGAGTCACCAACGACAACCCTCCCCACGTCGAGTATCTCATACGTTTGAAGGGTTACCCTGACGAGGAGGCTACCTGGGAGCCCCTCGAGCACTTGCAGCACGCTCGCATGTTGGTGCGTGCATATGACCGTGCTCGTCGTGCTGGGTACACTGCTCCTCCTCAGCCCACTGACCCTCCTCCTTCTCCTCCGGCTGAGGAGACCGCTGAAGTTGAGCCTGCTCCATCTGAGAAAGACCTTCAGCAGAAGCCGGATTATTCTGAGCGTCCACATTGCACGCGTCGTCGTCCTGCTCGACACGACGATTGACTCTGACTTACCTTCCCACGTCTTTGAMTTCTCAGTACTCCATCCACATCAGTTTTGCTACTTCAGCTCGTCGACGCTGCGACTCTTCCTCGACGGCATTCCAGACTTCTCATCGTGAACGTCATCGGCGGCTTCATGGACTTCATCACGATCAGCTCTGCCTACTTCAGACGTCGCCGCTCTCTTACCACTCTCCCCTGTACAGTACCCTGCTTGTGTCGCATGATGGTCCCCCTTTGGCCGGGTTCCTCTGAGTTGGGCTCTCCCTTGGTATACGCTTAGGCATCGGGACCGTAGCGTTGCCCTGCCTTCCCATCTTACGGATCTAGCTCCGACTGCCCTCACTTTAGGAGTCATTTGCATGATGCCCTTACCCATCATCTTTCTACCCTTCGCCGGCCCTCACGCCCTAGTTAGGCAGCCCCGCATGCTTCATCTAGGTGCGCCCAGTATACCAGGCTCCCTTRTTCCCTTGCATGGTCGACCCTCCATAGCGGTCACCCCTTAGCCGAGCATTACCCGCCCTGATGGTCTAGCTGTTAGGGTCATTGGTTCTGTTCGTTCCCAGTTCCCTACCCTCATTGAGCCTGATGACATGYGTTTTCCCCTGTCACTATGTGTGGATACCCTTAGGAGTTTTCAACCCCTASGCTGCATTCGCCACCCTCAGAGACCATCCCACCCTTTGGTGTGCGACACACTTCTCATGTGACATATGGTTGTATTGTTGATTGCTTTGTTGCTCTCAGACTGAGGCTACTGCCTCCGACATTTCTAGGATTTAGTTGTTCTGCTTTTGCTGTAGTTAGGACTTATACACCAGTCAGTTGTTACCAGACTGAGGCTAGTGCCTCCAACATTCTAGGATCTAGTTGTCACTACTTTTTGCTTTCCTAGGACATGTATGTTAGTTAGTTGCTCCTACTTTCACTTAGGCTGTTAGCTGTGACATTGCTGTTTTGTGACATTTTATATCCTAGGTTGCATTGCATGGACKYARCATGGAGCYTGCTCCGCATCCTAGACTACTCAGGTTTTCTTTTCTTTGGTAGAGTTCCGCTTCTYGGCGGAAGCATGTTTGTATCTAGGCGATCCATCACAGGCCGAGGATCGTGTAGCGGATCTCGGGTTGGCCTGTGAGACCAGCCCCTTGGCCTGATCTCACAGGCCTGTGTTACATTCGGGGTAGGCCAGTCCAGGCCGGTACCTCTCTCGGTACCAGCCAGTCCAGTCCAGTCCTGTCAGTCCGCTGGGGTATACCCCAGCCATTGTCTGTTTTCAGGATCATTCCTCACTTGCACATTTTGGAGTACGTGCGTTGGAGTCTTGCGTGGGGAGCTGCGTTGTGCCATCTTGCTCCCCCTTCTTCCTCCATCTCCATCTCTGTCACTAGCGGAGCACCACACCTGGTGGGTCCGCTACAGTCTTGGTGTCGGAGAACGCGCCATTGCGTTGTTGGTTTCTTGGTGTCGGACAACGCCCTGTGCAAGCAAAATCTGCACGTGCCATTGTTGTCAATCCGACGGGCGTGAGAGAGAGAGAGAGAGAGAGAGAGAGAGAGAGAGAGAGAGAGAGAGAGAGAGAGAGAGAGAGGGCCTCGCTGCACCACTCTCCCACTGTGCAAAATGAGACTGAATCCCCCACTAGAACATCGAAAGGTACATCACCATTTTATTTTATTTTTTTGCAAAATGAGACTGAATCCCCCGCTAGAACATCGAAACGTACATCGCCATTTTATTTTATTTTTTTGCAAAATGAGACTGAATCCCCCGCTAGAACATCGAAAGGTACATTGCCATTTTGCACAGACATGCTATCGGGCGGGCTGGCGAACGGAGACAAATCGGTGCGGGCTGGCGA